CCGCACCCCCAGTCGTGGCGCCGCCAGTGGCACCAGCACCAGCTCCAGACTCTCCAGCTCCAGAAACACCACCAGCTCCAGCACCACCACCGACTCCAACACGCTCGGGACGTGCAGCTGCGGCAGGTGCACGCTCAGCTCCAACTCCAACACCCCCAGAACCAGCACCGCCAGAGCCCTCACCTCGAGCACCAACACCCTCAGAGTCCGCAATGGCCGGGAGAGGAAGCGCCGACGGCTGCTGCGGAGGCTGTGAGGACGACTGTGGGGAAGGAGGAGAGACCTGGGGGGGGACCAAGGGAGGGGGGGTAGCCTGCGACACACCTGATGGAGCGGGAACCGGGGGGGGTACCGGAGGAGAGGGAGCGGGAGGAGGAGGAGCTGGGGCGAGGAAGAGGGGAGGGGGGGGAACCGGGAGACCTCGACAGGGGTACCGGACAAAGTAGGGGACGGACTCGTCGAAACTGACGTCACGAGAGTCAAAGAACCGGTGGGAGGGAGGGTGGTAAAAGGCGAAGTCAGAGGAGGCCTCAGGGAAACCAAGGAAGACACAGGGGACGCCGCGAGGTGAGAGCTTGTCCGCAGAGGTGTCGCGGACAAGCGCCAAGCAGCCCCAGACACTAAACCTCGACGCAACACCAGGGGACCCTGTCCAAAGACTGGTTGGTGAAGCCCCTGGCCGAGAGACGCGAGGCCAGAGGTTCAGCTGGTGAGCGGCGTACCGAGCCGCGTAGGGCCACAGAAAATGGGGCTCGCGGGCGTGGATCATGGAGGTGCGGGCAATCTCCATGACCAGGCCTAGCCGGCGCTCAGCAACCCCATTATGCTGTGGAGAGTCTGGAAGAGTCCAGGACTGGGTGATGCCCTGCTCAGCACAGAATCTGGCGAGAATGCCGGAGCGAAACTCACCCCCACAGTCGGAGTGGAGACAACTGACACGACGACGACGAGTACTCTCGGTGGCGAGCAGCCACCGGATCAGCGTAGAAGTCACGTCGGACTTCTTCGCCAAAGGGAACACGGTGGTGTACCGAGAGTAGTCGTCAACGACCACTAGGAAGAAGCTCTCTCGCTCAGGTCCAAGCCGTGGAGCGGGGCCCCAGACGTCTAAGTGGAGTGTCTCAAAGGGCTCGGAGGCTGGACGAAGGGAGGAGGAGTGAGGAGTGGCGCGCAGCCGACCCTGGACACAAGGACCGCACGGAGGAGCGGGGGACGGCGGGAGCGGCGGTAGGTCGCGGGGGAGGCCTAAGACAAGACGCTGACTGGACATAGCGCGGAGACGAGAGAGGGACGGGTGACCAAGGCGGTGGTGCCAGAGGAGGGCAGGGTGGGACAGCGACCGACACGAGCACGACGCAGCCACTAGACCTGGCACAGCTACCTGACTGGACCTGGCTACCTGGTGGGACGGGGGAACCGGACGGGTGTCGGTGTGGAGGGTGTACAGACCAGAGCCCGGCTCCTGACGAAAAGTGGCCAGAGGGGCGTACGTGTCACCGTCCACACAGACTGCAGTGTCACCCGAAGGCTCAAACCAGACCCCGACGTGCTGTCTCGCCAGAGGAGCCACACCAACCAGGTTCGTAGAGAAAGTAGGAACGTGGAGGCCGGTCAGAGAACCGGAAGGGGCAGCTGGGCACGGGAGGGTAGTGGCGTGAGTCGCAATGACCGGTCCCGAAGAGGGATCGGCCAGTGCTACAGAAACCGGCGCCGAGAGTGGAGTAAGAGTCGTGCTGTCGCGGAAGAAGCACTGCGTCGCTCCGGAGTCCAGTGTGAAGGAGAGCGACGCGTCCGCCGAGGGAGCACCTGTACTAGTAGCTAGACAGGATCCTACACCAGCACCTACTCTAGCAACAGGCAAAGATCCTACGCTAGGTACAGGCAAGTAAACAGATCCGACAGCACTATAGTCAACATCAGCATACATGGCATAAGACCTAGCATCATCCATAGACATATCAAACACAGCAACACCACGAGCAAGGAGTGGTCCCCAGCGCGGTGGCGGGGGAGCGGAGGGACCGTGGTGCAGGACGTACAGGTCGTCAAGACGGCTGAAGCAGCGTGCAGCAGAGTGGTCAGGGCGGCCGCAGTACGTGCCCCTGCGCGGACCCGTCAGGATCCAGTACTCACAGGGACCAACGTCGCGGCCGGCCGAGCGGGGTCCCCGACTAGAAGGGGCACCACTGCGCCCAGTGCTCGGGGGGCCCGTAGGTCTCCACTGCTGCGGGGGGGCCCACTGCTGCGAAGGGCCCCACTGCTGCTGAGTGCCCCACTGCTGCAGAGTGCCCCACTGCTGGGGCTGCTGCTGAGGCGGACGCTGCTGTTGGCCCTGGCGCTGCTGCTGCTGTCCCTGCCGCTGCTGCTGTCCAGGCGGTGGCAGCTGCGGAGGAGTCTGCTGCTGCTGCTGCGAAAACCCCTCACCACCGTCTAGAGGAGAGCCATCAGGTCCCGAGTCACCCCCGCCACTAGTACTACCGCCACCGCCGCCACCCGCAACACCCCCAGAACCCCCGCCGCCCTTCCCTCCCTTCTTGCCGGACTTGCCACGTTTCTGTCCGCCAGAGACAGAAACGGCCGCCGTCTCCTCAGAGGCAGAAGACGCGGCAGTGGCAATCGAGGCAATGAAGGTGGGAAGCTGTGGTACCGCACACCCCTTAAAGAGACGAGGAGGAGGCGCGGAAGAGGCGGAGGCAACAGCGAGGAGGTTACTCTCGATCTTCGAGAGAGCGGTCTCAAGAAGATCGATAGTAAGCTCAGTGGGGTGCTTCAGGAGAAGCGCGTCGCGGGCTGTGGCTAGACGGTCAGGGAGGCGAGTGACTAACCAGTGAATAGTGAGCCACATGGGGGGGGGTGCAAGGGCAAGCTGTTCCTCAGTGCAAGCGGCCTTGAAGCGAGCTTCAAGGGAGCGCAGGTGGGTAGCGAGGTCAGCGACAGTCTCAAAGGAGGCGAGGTCAGGGTAGATAAAGGGGACGAGGAGGCGGCTGAGGGAGGTAGAGGAGGGAGTGGAGTAGCGAGCAACAATAGCAGTGTAAAGGTCTGCAGCAGACTCGACCTGAGTGAAGTGGACAGCCTCAGTCGGCGGGAGAAGGTCGGTCAGGGCGAGGCATGCAGCAGCGTCACGAGACTCCCACACGTCACGAGCGAGGAACCGGCGCTGGTACTCAGCCTCCTGCTCGGAAGTAGGCGGTGGGGTAGTGGGCAGCGGTGAAGGCTGCGGCGGGGCGGGCAGAGCACCGGACGCATGCGCAAACAGGTGCACGCCATCCTGGCGCTGGCTCCTAAGGTGGCGCTGGGCCTGCGTCAGCCAGGTACTAAAGTCGATCGCACGCCCCTCAGGGTCGAAACGGAGCACGCGAGACGTCGCCATGAGGGGCGAGGACAAGTGATAGCGGCCGCCAGCCGCGAGAGGAGGAGGAGAGGGAGGTGAGTGCGAGGCGGGTGCGCGCAGGCGGGGCGCGCACTGGCTGGGCGCGGGGCGGCGGGGCGCGCGCTGGCGGGGCGCGCTCCGGCGCGGCGCGCTGGCTGGCGTGGCGCGCGGACGCGGCGCGCTGGCGGGCGGCTAAGCAGGGCGCACGCTGGCGGGCGCGGCGCGCTGGCGTGCGCGCTGGCGGGGCCCGCTGGCGTGGCGCGCTGGCGGGCGCGCTAGCGGGCGCGCTGGCGTGCGTGCTGGCGGGCGCGCTGGCGAGCTCGCTGGCGGGCGCGCTGGTGGGCTGGCGTGCAAGCGGGCTGGCGCGCAGGCTGGCTGGCGCGCTGGCGCGCTGGCTGGATGGCGCGCTGGCTGGCTGACGCGCTGGCGGGCTGGCGCGCTGGCTGGCTGGCGCGCTGGCGGGCTGGCGCGTTGGCTGGCTGGCGCGCAGGCTGCTGGCGCGCTGGCTGGCTGGCGCGCAGGCTGCTGGTGCGCTGGCTGGCTGGCGCGCTGGCTGGCTGGCGGGCGCGCTGGCTAAGGGCGGGGAGGGGAGGGGCGCGCCGGCTGGGGCGTGGGGTAGGGCGCTGGCGGGCTGGCAGGGTGCAGTGGTAACCCTAGTGGTAGGGAAGGGCGGGCCTAGGACTAGGAGCGCTAACCTACTGCTGATACCATGTCAAAATGAGAACTACAGCGGAATACGTTGTGTTGACAGAATTGGGGTACATCACCTAACCCTAACTAGTTGTACCCCATATGGCCCAACACACTACAGGCTATAATATTTGACAGTTATGTACGGGTAATATTGCAGTTTTTGCAAATATACACTGTGGTTGACGGCGAACGTGCACTGTACTCTGGGTGGCACATTGTGGGCGATATTCGTGGCTGTGTGGTGCCAAGTCACACTGACGTGTACTTTCGCGTACACTTGTCCAGATTTTATGGCAGGCGAACTTCAGAACAACCGTGATCTGACCCAACAGTTTGTGTGACTTCAGTACAGTAAAATCACGACTGCCAGCTTGGTTGTGTGTTCTGTTTGATTTCGACCGGCCAGGGAAGTGAGGCGTGGGAGGGAAATGGGAGAAGTTTGCGTGATTGGCTGCAACACTGATTTCTTGCTCTGAACCCTGACAACTCTGAGTAAGTCGTTGTTGGACACTGACCAATCAGAGTAGCAAACCTACGAAATATGTGCCCTCATAATCCAGGGAGAATTTTTTTCCCGAAATCAGGGGGGCCCGAAATGAAACGTCAGCCCTGGGGGGTGTGTCTTCTTTCCAATCAGGGCCTGACTGTGGGCCTTGTTGGAGCTTGCAATGTGGCAGCTAACCCACGAGACTAACGCTATCGCCCAGTCCTCGGTTTTGCGCACCCAACCAACAATCTACCACCGCGTCAAACATGTACATTTTGTTCTCAACCTTTTGTGCTCTAAAAAAAATATACATTATGTAACGACCCGGGTGCAATGTAGCTTTTTCCGATGACAAGACCCCCCCCCCTTTTTTTGTGTAGTTATCATAGCACCCTAGGGTGGTATGTCCGGAGAAGTACGGTACATGTCTTATATCCGGGCGATGACGGTATGCTTACTTCAACTCCATTCACGTAGCTTGCCTAACTCACGGAGCTTGCCTAGCATAGAATAGCCAGAGACGAGGGATTAGGCTGATGCGGCATAGAAATGAAATTATCATTAGATTGTTTGTGATACTTCGTCGCCGTTGCTGCGTAGTGATATTTTCCTCGCGATCACAGAGAACCCCATTCCCGTCGCCATTCCTCTCACCCCTCTCATCGCCCACTATGCTATCCTCGAGTTCGCCAAATCGCCCACCCGTCTCCCTTTCCGTCGCGCGTCACGTCGCCATCTCGTCGCCCGTCCCGTCGCCCTCTTCGTCGTCCTCTCTCCCCTCCTCTCCTCCCGTCGGCCTCTCTCTCGCCCCTCGCTACCAATCGCCCTCCCGTCGCTCGCCCTGTCGCGCTCTCTCTCTCCGCTCCCTTCCCGTCGCCCTCTCTCTCGCCCCTCCCTTCCCGTCGCGCTCTCTCTCTCCGCGCCCTTCCCGTCGCCCTCTCTCTCTCGCTCCTCCCTTCCCATCGCTCTCTCTCTCTCTCCGCTCCGCCCTCTCTCTCGCTCCTCCTTCGAATCGCGCTCTCTCTCCGCTCCCTTCCCGTCGGCCTCTCTCTCCGCTCCCTTCCCGTCGCGCTCTCTCTCTCCGCTCCCTTCCCCTCGCCCTCTCTCTCGCCCCTCCCTTCCCGTCGCGCTCTCTCTCTCCGCTCCCTTCCCGTCGCCCTCTCTCTCGCCCCTCCCTTCCCGTCGCGCTCTCTCTCTCCGCTCCCTTCCCATCGCCCTCTCTTTTGCCCCTCCCTTCCCGTCGCGATCTCTCTCTCCGCTCCCTTCCCGTCGCCCTTCTCTCTCGCCCCTCCTACCCGTCGCGCTCTCTCTCTCCGCGCCCTTCCCGTCGCCCTCTCTCTCGCCCCTCCCTTCCCATCGCGTTCTCTCTCTCCGCTCCGCCCTCTCTCTCGCTCCTCCCTTCGAATCGCGCTCTCTCTCCGCTCCCTTCCCGTCGCGCTCTCTCTCTCCGCTCCCTTCCCATTGCCCTCTCTCTTTCTGCTCCCTTCCCATCCTCCCTTCTCGCTCGCCTCGAATAGCCCTCCCGGCGACCTTCGACTCTCCCATCACGTATGCCCTCCTTTCTCCGTCGCCTCTCTCGTTCTCCCTCTGCTATCGCGTCAGCGTGACCCATTCCGTACTCTGTTATTGTGTTTGGTTTGTTTGTTTCTTCTGTCTTTCCATCTATTCTCGACACCCTCTCTCCCGCCGCCTATCCTCTCTCCCGTCGCCTATATTTTCTCCCGTCGCCCTCCCGTTTTCCGTCGCCCTCCCGTTTCCCGCCCCCCTCCCGTTTCCCGTCGCCCTCCCTTTTCCCGTCGCCCTCCCGTTTCCCGTCGCCCTCGCGTTTCCCGTCGCCCTCCCGTTTCCTGTCGCCCTCCCGTTTCCCGTCGCCCTCCCTTCTTCCATCACCCTCCCTTTTCCCGTCGCCCTCGCGTTTCCCGTCGCCCTCCCGTTTCCCGTCGCCCTCCCGTTTCCCGCCGCCCTACCGTTTCCCGTCGCCCTCCCGTTTCCCGTCGCCCTCGCGTTTCCCGTCGCCCTCCCGTTTCCCGTCGCCCTCGCGTTTCCCGTCGCCCTCCCGTTTCCCGTCGCCCTCCCGTTTCCCGTCGCCCCCCTTCTTCCGTCGCCCTCCCGTTTCCTACGCCCTCCCTTCCTGTCGCCCTCCCGTTTCCCGTCGCCCTCCCTCTTTCTCTTCATTCGCGTCACCTTGCCCATCATAATTTCCCCCCTAGTGCTGTTTTTCTCTTCTGTTTCCCGTTATTGCACCTCTCCTAGGCCTCAAGTCCAAGGCAACCCGTTGATCAGAGCTCTACTAGCTCTAATAACGTTCAATCACTTTCACTCTCACCACGTACATGTGTGTCTGCTTGGGATTTAGCGTGAGATGTTGCTAGTTGTGAATTTGGTGAAGTAATGGCTCTAGTGAATGCAGGAGTGCTCGTCGCTCAACTTTGCGCCAAATTCGCACATGTACATGTGAGAGAACCTGGCTGCCAATCAGAATTGACAATGAACTATCGTTCCTGGTCCAATAAGAAACTCGTCCGAGGGTCGGAAAAAAAAGCACACATACAGCAATTCCAACATTCCAAAACAAAACAAAAATTCATCATCTTCAAGTGGACCGAACTAGAAGGGGAGGGTCACTATTTTGCCTGCTGGCTTTAAACAGTCACTAAAATGTGTACATTCGTCCGTGGTTTTTCCACTGCACTGTCCAAACATATGTTCCAACAGCGGACCTACCTGCAGCGGTTTTAGTTTCCCAGCCCTCCCATCAATTCCACCAAATTGTGTGCAGAACCAGAACCTTGGTGTACCACTTTTCGTCCCTACTAATGAATACGATTGCTCTTCCGCCTAATCGCATGCTGTAGCTCGTACGAATCAGAAGCGCGGTCTCGCGCGTTGCCTCTTTCGCCGCAAAGTCCGCGCTATCCCCCCCAATTCCGCCTTTCTCCGCGTTCCGACACGGGTAATCCGCTTCCACCCATGGCGGCGGGATCGCGCGCCCTTTTTCTGGGGGTGGACGGCGGCGCATCTTCCACCTCCGCCGTCCTCCTCGACCTCTCGCGCGCAAACGCCGCTGCGCCCGCGGAGGCGGAAGGAATGGCGGAAGAAATGGCGGAAGGCATGGCGGAAGCTGGTGGACCGGCGGAGCTGACGGCGGATGGTGCGCGCGAGTGCGTGGTGGGGCGCGGAAGCGGCGGAAGCTCAAACAAAAACAGTGTGGGCGGTAAGGCGGAGAGGATGAGGCGGGGGTAATGGGGGCAAGGGGTTGGGGAAGGGGCAGGGGTTTGAGATAGGGGGAGGGTTCGAGGGGAGGGATGAGGGTTACCGAGGAAAGGGGGGGATACCAAGGGTTAAGGCGGGTTGGAGAAGGATACAGCTATGCACTTTCCCCCTCCCCTCTGCCTCACGTTCCCTTCCCTTTCCTCTTCCCCGCTTTCCCCCTTTTCCCGCTTCCCCCAGAGGCTATTGCGCACAGTGCCCTGCAAGCAGCGATGGAGGGGGCGTTGTTCTCAAGACGTCCTAAAGTCTTCCCCTTCCCCTTCCCCGGCCCCCTCCCCCCTTCTCTTCCCCCCTCCCCCCTCCCCCTCCCAGAGGCTAGTGCGCGCAGTGCGCTGCAAGCAGCGATGGAGGGGGCGCTGGGGGCGGCGGGGGTAGCGGCGGGGGAGGTGGCGGGGGTGTGTGTGGGGATGGCGGGGGTGGATAGACCCGCGGACATGCAGCTGGTGCGCTCATGGCTCAGGTGGGGGGAAGGGGGAGAGGGGAAGGGGGAGGGGGGGGGAGGCGGGAGGGGGAAGAAGGTGGGGCAGTTTCAAGGGCTTGGGTGGGTATTGGATGAACTCACAGATGCGTTGCTGGTGTGCTCATAAAAACCATACATGATATTACGTTTAAAATCGAGTGTGTAGAATGGCTCATTCAGATGCACGTATCTGCTCCCAGCATCCCTTCTTGCAACCTTGGTGGAAACCGCATGCAAACTCCCCACCGAACAAACTCCTTTCAACTCCCCCCACCGACTCATCTCCGCAGCACTCCCCTTCCACCACCACCTCGCGAGTCCTCTTCCCGCCCCGCCACCTACCCGCCACTTGTCCCAAACCTTTTCCAACCCTCACAACCCATTCCCCCATCCCCACGCCAGCCCCATATTCCCCCACCTCCCGCCGTCCCGCCTGCTAATCCGCAACGACGCTCTAGTCGCGTTCATCAGTGCCACTCTCGGGGTCATTCCCGCTGCCGCTGCCGCACAGACAGACACACGTATATTCTTTCAGCTTCCACCTAAATACCCTAACCCCCCACCCCAACCACCTGCTTTCAACACTCCCTTCCCTCCACCCTGTCCCCTTCTTGCCACCCCCCACCTTTCCCCCTTTCCTGAACCCACCCACCCCCTCCAGCCCCATATTCCCCCACCTCCCGCCCTCCCGCCTGCTGATCTGCAACGACGCTCTAGTCGCGTTCGCCAGTGCCACTCTCGGGGTCATTCCCGCTGCCGCTGCCACCACCGCCACCGGCACTCTCCCTGACGAGACCGAGGAGAGCAGGCGCAGAGGGAGAGGGGACGGCAGAGGGGGACGAGGCAGAGGAGGAGGAAGTGGAGGAGCAGCAGCGGAAGGGAGTGTGGATGGGTCGGGTGGTGGGGTGGTGGTGATTTCAGGCACGGGAACGATTGCGTACGGGATAGCAGCAGACGGCAGGGAGGCACGGGCGTCAGGAGGGGGACCTCTCCTGGGGGACAAGGGGAGTGGGTATGCAATGAGCTGTGAGGCGTTGGCTGCTGTGCTGCGTGCATGGGATGGGCGCGGGCGCGTGACGGCTCTGACAGAGGCCGTGCTGGGGCATGCGGGGCTGGGGAGTCCCAGCGAGCTTATCAGGTGAGAGAGGGTTGTTGCTGGGTTTTGGGGTGAGGGGGAGCTGGTTGGGTGAGGGGGGAGCTGGTCGGAAAGCGGGTGTGCGAGAAATTATTTGGTGCGAATCCCAGGTTTTTTTTGTGTTTCTGATCCACACCTCTCCTGTCCCCAGTCCTCGGTTCCTTCCTTCTCAACTCCTCCCATTTCCCTTCCTCCTTCCCATCCCCCTTCCCATCCCCCTTCCCCTTCCCGTTCCCGTTCCCCCTCCTCTTCGTCCCCCCTCTCCTCAACGTCTCTCCCCACTTCCCCTCTTTCACCCCTCCCCCTCTCCCCCTCCTTCCGCCCTCCTCTTCCCCCTTCCCCCCCTTTCCCCCGATCAGCTGGGCCTATTCTGACCCAGCATGGGCGCGCATAGCAGCACTCTTCCCCTGTGTGCGTGGATGTGCAGCAGCGGGCGATGCAGCAGCCATGGCTGTCATTACAGATGGAGTGGAGGAGATGGCGCTTTCTGCTCATGCTGTTGCCTGCCGACTCGGCTTCCCAGGTGGGGCTCGTGACTTTGAGGCGAACAAGGTGGCTTCCCAGGTGCTTCTTCATAAGAGCAAGTGAGACGTTGCAATTATAGGCTGTCGCCGGCAAACTCGGGTTCCCCGGTGAGAGGTGAGGGTTTTCCCAGGTGAGGGTTTTCCCAGGTGAGGGTTTTCCCCGGTGAGGCTCGTTGGTTCAAGTGTCTTAAGGGTGATATTCCGATCTTACTATTGGGTAGACTGGTGATTTCTTGGCTGCTCTGCTTGTGTTCATTCCCATTCCCATGTCCATCATATCATGCCGCACCGCCCTTCCCTCTCAGTCACTCAATGAAAACCCCCCACGCACTCTTGCGCCACTTGCATGTGCACCCGCAGAGTCGCGCCAACCGTTCCTTATAGTCACAGCAGGCGGTGTGCTCACTGACAGTTCGCCGCCCAACATCCCGCGCATGTTTGACCACCAAATCCGCATGCTACTGCCCTCTGCTGTCGTCAAGCCGCCCCAGGTATGCTCATTGGGCGGGTAGTGGCCTTCATGTTGGGATACATGTTGTATTTAAAGCTGTCGCCTACATACCTCCTGCGGGAGGACCTGGTTTATCACTTGAAAACCAGGTAGCACAGGGCTTCGCTCCATCCTTGGGTGGCGAGGTGCAGTTACTGCTTTCTGACAACCCAACCCCCCCTCTGAAAGTTGGCCTGCTCAGGATTGGCTTACAAATTTCGCGCCAATCTACCCCCCAACCTCGATTGGTTGCAGGTTGTGGCGAAATCGCCACCACAACCCCAACCTCACGAAAAAAGCACCCCCCCAACCAAACCTTGCACGAAACTGGCGGGATTCGCCAGTTGTGTTTGAATCCTTCGCGCTCTCATTTCTGGAAAGGGATCATTTCGTGTGCAAATCAGACTGCGTCTTAGGGTGTGCACCCGAAATACCCCCAGAAAATACCCTTTGGTATGTAGACCGCAGCTTTAAGGAGGTTGCTTTCATCTAGAATGTGTCTGGATTTACGGTATGTCTTTGATTTTCTGTTTTTATTTTTAATCCCTTTCCAGGTGGAGGCTGCACTAGGGGCTGCTCTCTTGGCCTGGAGAGTCTCATTATGTTGAGCAGAAACTGCCGTTCGTTTATTCTAGTTTTTGGAAAGATGTGCTTTTGTTGGTTTGGTATGCTGTCAACATTTCATGCCTAAGAGAACCTGTCAAGGGTATTCATTTTCTAAGAAAATGCTATTACATATGTACTGGTGAAGCAGGCAGGCAATCATGGAGAACCACCCACGGTATTTCAGGGCCATGAAGTCTTATCTGATAGTTCCTACGGTTGTTCAGACAGGCCATCTAAGGGCGTATTCCTACGACCTCCTATCAAGAATCCTCCTATCAAGAATGTAGTTCTCGCCTGTAAATTTGCAAGATCGCGCAACCTCCTATCAACAAAACTTGACGGTTTCCCCACATGTGCGACCCAAAACAAACGCTGATGTGGCACGCTGCGACCCAGGTTGATCAAATAAAAAAAGCACCACGTAAGCACGTAGTGTGCCAAGGGGACAAGTCAACAAACATCTCGCGAACACATGCCCATGCACGCCACAACCTCCCATCTATTCGTAGAAATAGTACAAACGCTCGCAGCTTACTGCAATCCTGCTAATAGTGCCTACCACAACGACTATGACGGACGTTCCTTTCCTGCCTAGGTTGTTTATAGTATGGCACGCCTTTTATTACGACACATTCCAAAATAGTGCCATCCAGTCTTGCATTAAGTTCCTCGAGCAGATAAGCAATGCGGAAGAAGATACCGTCGTAGTGACGAGGAGTGAATTACGTGCTCGAAACCGAAGCTTACGGCGGCGCCGCTTAGGCGTGTGGGAGGACGAAATGGCGACGATGCCCGAGGAGGTGTTCATCGACTTGTTCCGCATTAATCGCGCTATTCTGGAATACGTATGTCAAGGAATGGCTCACGTGCTCAACCCCGTCATCCAGCGCCATCGCATTCCAATTACAGTGGCCGTGCTCATACCAATCAAGTATTTCGCAAGCGCGATGGCGTATGTGGACCTGGCTTTCTGGTTCGGTGTGCCAAAAACCCTGTGCCATCACCTCGTAGACCTCTTCCTCTTAAACTTTCCCACCGTTTTCAAAGCGGCCTGGGTACGTTTCCCGACACAGGATGAAATGCGTGACATGGCTGAAGAGTTCCGGAATATTAAAGGGGTGCCAATGGTTGTAGGTGCTATTGACGGCACACATGTCCAGATTCGGGGGATGGAGGGGCATCGGGCGGAATATTACACGCGAAAATCACAATATGCCGTGCAACTACAAGTGACATGCGACGCTAAAGGAACCATCTGGGATTACCTAATAGGCTATCCAGGCACCGCCCATGACCAGCGGGTGTTCGTCCTGTCTAGCCTCTATGAGCGACTACGAAGAGGTGACCTCGCACCGTACCAGCTGGTAGGAGACGCCGCCTACCCGCTCCGCAGCTACTGCTTGACGCCATTGCATGCTCCCACTGGCCGCCTCATGCTCGAGTGGGAGCAGACCTTCAATTACTGCCAGTCCGCGACTCGCATGCCCGTGGAGCGAACCATTGGTGCGTTGAAAGGACGGTACCGCCTATTTGCCGGCCGTCACGAGTGCGCGTTATGGCGGGTCCTTGCCGGCGCCAGCTGTGTTGTCATACTGCACAACATGGGCATCAAGATGGCAACTTCCAGGATGAGAACAATCAATCACACGTGGGCTGCGCGGCTGATCAACCAAGACCCATGGTGGACGAGAGGAGAACTTGCACGGTATAATTGGTGCGCCGATCTTGCCGTCACTACACACGATCTCAAGGAGAGGAGGAAGAGGCTCGGGGAGGCGCTGCATGTGGAATACCTTAAGCGACGTCGGACCGGCGATGCCACACCTCCACGTCGTCGGTGACTTCATCAGCGGCGTCGGTATTGTAGCCGGTTGGCCCTGATTCATCCGCTGGGTTGCTTCCAAAGTTGAGGGGACGGCTTGTTGTTGATTGTTGGGAGGCCATCCACTCGCGTATGACTCCGGTGATTTGTGTTACGCCTTCCTGGGAGCACTTTGTGAATGTGTCGGCCAACAGTTGAGCAGCTGCCATGGTCGCCGTCTCATTAATACGGCGTCGTGCATGGGGCGGGGTGTTACGAACTAGGGATAAGAGCGGGGAGGGTTACGGGGTAGAAATGAATAGCAGCACAAGCAGTCATTCTTTTGCGGTGTAAGCGACATTACATAACATTCCGTCAACTTTTTCACGCTCGGATTTTCAACTTGCTATAAATTGGCCTAGCATTCAACACACATACCAGGTGTTGTTGTGGCAGCAGTAGTCGGCGGCTTTGGAACCTTGACGCCAGGGTCCACTGTCACGTTAACTGCACCGCCACCATCCAGAGCGTGAGGCTCGGCAGCAGCAGTGTCTTCGTAAAACAGCACCATCCACTGCCACCACGGCGGCTTTATCACCGTTCCGCCTCCAGATGCCGAATCCCCGATCTCGATATGCTTCCATAGCGCTTTAAGTCGCTTCCACTGATTGACGCAGGCGGTGGCATTCCTGCACCAATCGGGATGCTGCTTCTTAATGTGTTCGATGAGGCGCAACCAATACTGCGACCCCTGTTTTCCCGTCATTTGGTTGAGCTCCTCCTTGGTGAACCATCGCGCGGCGCACAATATGGTGGACTCTTTGGCCGTCCATTCCGATTTCGGGCCTGTGCCCAAACAGTCGGCATTATTCGCGCCAGCAGGGTGACTGCCCTTTCCCTTCCCGCGAGCCTCGACGCGGCTGCTGGAGCCTCGTTTCTCTGCTGCCGCGGCCGGCGCCACGGGGCGATCATCACGCGGGCCACTATATTCCGCGTCGCCACACCACGCCTCGTCCGGTTCTTCGAACTCGAAATCCTCGTCGTCGTCGCCATCCGCAGTGTCCTTGTCCGTGTCGTCCTCGTCAGTGTCATAGTCGACTTGCAGACCGATATTACTGGTCCCGGGCGTGGCGCGAGGTGTGATGGGTGACTTTGCGGGGGGCTGGCCTACATTGCGCAACGGCTTTGCTGTGGGTCTACCATTCGCGAGTTCGGCGTTCATCCACGCCACATATGCAAGATCCTCTGGCCGCCATAATTGTTCGTCTGCCTGGCTGAATACTTTACGCTTTCGGGCCATGTTGTTGGATGTACGGTGCTTTGCGTGCCAAGGAATGGGAGCTACCAATGTATAGAGAGCATGATGGCGAGTTGGGTGCTGTGTGTCATGTGTGTTTGGATGAGAGGCCTCGTGAAGTGCTTGACGTGCTGGGGGTGGTATACGTGTCGCGTGGCGCCAGGTGTGAAAATTCATTTCGCGCGACACCCTGCGACCATTTCTATTGGTTCGCTCAATCATTCCAAAACTTGATAACTGGCGTTTTATAACGTACACGATGTCATACTACATTCTTGATAGGAGGATTCCTGATAGGAGGTCGTAGGAATACGCCCTAACTAAGAGATGTATTCAAAAACTTCCACGTAGTTCATGAATGTAACACGTTTATTCTTCGCCGTCGTCATCGCACACCGTGCTGTCAGTACACGAGGGGAGGCTGAGCTGAGGTTGGGCTTCGCTTCCCGACCACTGCGAGGAGCAGCACCATTCGCGACCGTGTTGGCGACAACTTTAGAATTCGACGAGGTGGGGCTGGTTTCTCGCCTGCTTGTGCTTCGTCGATTTCCAAGCGGGGGGCTTCCACACCGGGTGTTCCGCGACGTCTTCGGGCTCGTGGTAACCTCGGAGGTGCGACCAGTACTAGGTGACTGCGCAACCGGAGAGGCAAGCGGAATCCATGAGTCATCCTCGACAGATGCGCCAGTAGTTTCTTGCACTGATTGTTGCGAGAGCTCGTACTCAAGCAGCGATGCTTGCGAGAGGTGACGGAAGCGAAATGCCGGGTTACTGTCAACCGAGTGACTTTGTGGAGAAAGGGATGGGCTGGGCGACCTCACAGAGTCCACTTGGCTCTGGTTCTGCTGCTGCCGTTGCATACGGGGAGGCGACGCGATGGGGAACTCCCTTGAGATTGTCATATCCATGCTTGTTACGCGCCGCCTCCGTACAGGTTCAGCCCTAGGCGACGGAGGTGAAAGCGTATCAAATACGACTGGTGACGTGCGCTGCATCGTTTGCCGCGTTGGCCTGTTCCCTGAGCTGGCACTCGATATTCTTGACGTACTATCCGCATTTGCAACAAACGGCAGCGCCGCAGCGGCTGGCCCTTGATTAGCGACGCGTACACCGGAACCGACGGTCAGGAGCGATGCGCTAGAGTCTTCTTTCGGTATTGACTCCACACCCGCCGACGCGACTCGACGGTGCAAGCCGCCGCGACTCCGATTGGGACACGTGGGCGGGAACTCGGTAACGCCTCCTGTAAACGTGAAATCACTTGTCACTAGTAGTTCACCTGAACTGATCGGAATGCTGTCATCGGAGCTCGATTTCCGCATCACGGCGCGAGCAGCCGCTGCTTTGGGTGAGGGGCGAGGGCGAACACTCCCCGCAGGAGGACTCGCGGGAAGTTGCGCTGCTTTGGGTGAAGTGACGGTCTTCGTTGGTGATAACCTTCGAGGACTCCTCGGAGCTTTTGGAGGAGATGACAGCATTGACTCGGCGCGCTCTGGCTTCTGGCTTGTCTGTCGAGGAGTTAGGGGTGTTTCTCCGACGCCTGGCCAGGGTTTGCTGGAGCGCTCCGTGAGGGACTGAGATTGAGCCGATTTGCGTGAAAAACGGGCGAAGGCCGATATCATGTGCTTTTTCAGGCTCCCGTGCGCCTGTCCTTCCATCGTAGCTGGTGACGTCGAGCGAGACTTAGTATTAGTAGGGCTGCTACTCGGAGACATTAGTCACGAATGTTCAATTGACGTCCTTTGATGGTGTCAACAGCCTGTAAAACCTGATTTTTGTAGTAAGAACGGTTGAATGACACGAGAACTGAAGACACCAAGTACCGCAAATGACTCAGCTCGGCACTCTTAGTGCCGCTCAAGTTACTGCCGCGGCGACAATGACTAGGAAAAGTGTCGCGTAGA